CTCCCTTCCGCACTTCACGGACCTGAAATGGAGGCCATGACCAGGACTGGTCCAGGAATGGAGAGCTTTGTCAACATACATGTGGCCCCAGGGTCATCCGACATTGGTGATTTGGAGGAGGACGCAGGTGCTCATCTCAGGGTGCTTCCCATATGCTGATGGCCCTTTCTTCCTGAGCATCCTGCCTGGGCAGAGGCTGAGGTGGGGCGGTCAGGCTGCTAGGGGTGGTCTCTGCTGGCCACTCTGGCCTGGAGGCCTTCTTTGCCTCCATTGGAGGCAGACACGGGGACCCTGCACACCCACTGCTCAGTGAGAGCCTCCACACCCCGGGGCAGGCTGTGTCTCCACGTTGCGGGCAGCGGGGCCTGGTAGGACCCCGGCCACACCCGGCCAGCGAGCCCCACAGCGCCTTCACCCAGAGCTGCAGTCTAGAGCGTGGGGGGCCGTCTAGACCACCTAGTGCCGTCGTTCCTGTTCCTCCGGAGGAGCCTCCGTCAGTCATAGAACAGGACAGTGCGGCTGGGTACGGGAGCGGCTGGCCACCTGCACAGCGGGAGACATCAGGGAGAAGCGTGATTTCGCATCACAATTAAAGAACTAAATAGGCTAAGACTAGATCCAGTGGGAGATGAGATAACTCTGGAGAAAACGATGCAAACTGCGTCTGAACCAAGCTCCAGGCAGCGAGCACCGCCCACCGCCTGGTCCCTTAGCCTTCTGGTTTTAAAGTTTGCCTATTAATCACCCAGTCGGTGAGCTTCCTTGTGCCACGTGGTGCAGACACACAAGCTCAGTTCCACCGATTCCTCTCCCCGACATGCCCCTGTCCCTCGCTCTCCCATGGACCCCGCTGTACCCTGGCGGGCTCCCTCTCCTTCCACACGCCTGGTCTCCCACTGTTCTCCCTCTCCTTCCACCGAGGAGAGAAACATACTTTTATCTCTGAGGATAACTTATTCCACTCAAAATCATGGCCTCCAGTTCCGTCCATGTTCCTGCACATGCCGTAATTTCCTTCTTCTTCGTGGCTGACTAAATCTCCACTGTGCATGTCCACCACATTTTCTCTATCCCCCCGTCCATCGAGGAACACCTGGGCTGGCTCCGTCGTCTGGCTGCTGGGAGTGGTGTGTGTGTGTGTCACTGCAGTGAGACGACTCTGACTCCTCAGGGTCAATACCGAGGCGTGGGGCAGCTGGGTCACAGGGAGGGTCCCTGCCTGGTCTTTTGGGTGGTGGCAGTTTCCTGGTCTCACATCCTGGCCGGCATTCATTGCTGCTTGCCTGACGGCTGCCATTCTGACCCGAGTGAGAGGGAACCGCAGCGTGGTTTTCATGAACGTTTCCCTGATGGCACGAGACTGTTTCCGTGAGTTTGTTGCCCATCTCTACTTCTCCTTTGGAGAGGTGTCTGCTCAGTTCATTGGCCCATTTACTGACTGGGTCAGGTGGCTCTTTCAAGGTGGTGTGTTTGAGTTCTTTATTTAATCCTCGGTGGGAAGAGTCGGTGGCAAAGATGTTCTCCCCTGCTGTAGTTCTCTCTTCACCCGGTTATTTCTTCCTTTGCTGTGCAGAAGCTTGCTAATGTGGTCCACCCCCAACGCCCCTCTCTCTCATTTCTGAGCTAGAGTGGTCCTATCCGGGAGGTCCTTGTTGGTGCCCGTGTGGTGAAGGGTCTGCCCTATTTTCTTTTCCTAGCAGTCACAAAGTGTGTGGTCTTGTACTCGGTCTTTGGTCAACGTGGAGTTGTCTTGCACCGTGTGAGGGATGAGGATCTAGTTGAGTCCTCTACATGTGGACGGCCAGTTTTCCCTGCACCTGTTGTTAAAGAGGACGTCTTGTCTCCAATGTATGTTTTTGGCACTTTTGTCTAGGATCAGGTAACTCTATCTGCATTGTTTTGAACGAAAAGTGGCACAGGACTGATCACACACAGACCTGGGGTGAGAAGAGGTTTACTGTCGGGGGCCTGACAAGGCTGCTCTGCCCAGAGAGGGACAGCAGCAGCTCCTTGAACGTCACCTGTTAGGGGCGAGGATCACGGCCGGGCACCAGGGCGGGTTTAGTCCTGACTGACACAGTGAGCATCCCCTGATCGTGAGGAAGGCAAGTTTGCTTCTTGGGAACAGAGACAGGCAGTTTTCCCACCTCTCAGTACGTCCCCATCTCAGGAGCCAGTAAGTCGTCTCCTATCTGTCAAAGAAAGAGCAGGGAGAGAGCGGCAGGTCTCCGGGCCAGGAGGTCGTATCTCGGGCGAGTTTCTATTTCTTGGGAATAAGAACAGAGTTCATGGAGTGGGGGTCGGGGAAGGAAGGTGGCTGCAACTGTGCCACCAGGGTGTCTTGCGTGCCCTCTTCTGCTCCTTTGGTCTACACGGCTGTCTTGTCACTTGAAGGTGGGTCTTGTGACGCCTCCAACATTGCTCTTAATTCTCAGGGTTGCTTTGATCGATCCACCTTTTTTTCTTTCATATGAACTTGAGGCTTTTTTTTCTAGTTCTGAGAAGAATGTTATTGGCATTTGAGGAGGATTACATTGAATCTGTACGTTGGTTGGTTTTGGAATCATGGCCTTTTTGACCATGTTAATTCTGTCTATCCGTGGACATGGGAGGTCTTTCTGTCTTCTGGGGTCTGCTTCAGTTTCTGTGTTCAGTGTCTGTGATATTTTATGCAGGACTCTTTTACCGCTTTGGTTATATTTATTCCTAAGCAGTTTTTAGAAGTTATTGTAAATATAATTGTTTTCCTCATCTCTTTCCCAGTCATTCATTATTGGTGTATAGAAAGTTGTTGATTTTTGTAAGTTGATCATGTATTTTCTACTTTGCCAAGTTGATCAGCTCGAGAAGTCCTTCTGGTGGAACTCTCAGGGTCTTTTAAGTATCAGTTCTTAACGTCTGCAAAGGGATAAATTGACTTTTTCCTCTCCTGTTTGTGTCCTTTTTATTTCTCTTACCTAATTGCTCTGACTCTAATTTCAAGTACTATATTGAGCAGGAGTTGGGAGGTGGACAGCCTTGTCTTGTCCCTGGTGTTAGAGGAAATACTTCCAGTTTTCCCCCATTCGGTATGATACTGGCTTTAGATCTGCCAAATGCAGCATTCATGATGATGAGGGAGTTCCTTCCAGCCCTGGTTTCTTCTGGGTTTTTATCACGAGGGCTACTGAATTCCATAAGGGGCATCTTTAGCATTAATCTGGGTTCGTGTGATTTTTGTCCTTGGTCCTATTTCTGTGGTGTATCTTGGTTATCGATTGGCGTGTCTTGAACCATCCTTGCATTCCTAGAAGCGTGTCTTGAACCATCCTTGCATTCCTAGAATGAAACCAACTTGAAATGGTGTGTGATCTCTGTAATGTGTTCTGAATTTGGCTTCCTGACATTTTATTTTTGCATTAATGTTCATCAAAAGTGTTGGTATGTAGTTTTTTTCCCTTGATCTGTTCTTATCTGGTTCTGGTGTGACTGTGACACTGGCTGTGTAGGGTGGACTTGGAAGTGATCCTTCCCTTCCTAGTTCATGAACTAATTTGGGGAGCATTGGGGTAGTTCTTGAAGATCAATTCTTCTTCTTTTCCACTCTCTCTCCCCACCTGATCGCCACGGTCCACGCCATCCGCTCGTGTCTCCCGCTGGCCTCTCCTTCCCCACTAACTGGCCTGTCTCCCCCTCATCTCCCGCCCCTTCCTTCCATTTTCTCGCTCCCTTCCTGGCTCCCTGCTCCCAGGGCTCAGGTCCACCCCTTCATCCTCTTTCCTTTCTCTTCTCTTTTGTTCCTCCTCCCTCCTGCCTTCTCCATCCTGGAAGAAGAGTGGCGAGGACTGATCACACACAGACCTGGGGTGAGAAGAGGTTTACTGTCGGGGGCCTGACAAGGCTGCTCTGCCCAGAGAGGGACAGCAGCAGCAGCTCCTCGAACGTCACCTGTTAGGGGCGAGGATCACGGCCGGGCACCAGGGCGGGTTTAGTCCTGACTGACACAGTGAGCATCCCCTGATCGTGAGGAAGGCGAGTTTGCTTCTTGGGAACAGAGACAGGCAGTTTTCCCACCTCTCAGAGGGGAACAGGGAGACCAACACGTCCCCACGGGCACGTCTCCAGTCCAGTAGGTTTCATCTCGGCCTAGTCTCTGTTTCTGGGGAATAGTCAGTTGGGGTGGGGAAAGGAAGATGGCTGAATCACGGTAACGCATCCCATCCGTCTACACACGGGACAACCCGTCCCCCCGCCGTGCTTCATCCTTCTGCCTGTCTACACTCCCACAACCTCTCCCCACCTACTCTCCCTGCGCCAGGCTCCAAGGCGGCCCAGTGCACCGAGCGGGCCGGGACTTTCTTGCTCGGCAGCCCAGCTGACTACTGCAGAGACCGGTGCTCCTCCTCAGCAGCTCCCCCTCCTGCTCTTGCTCCCCCAGGCTTTGGTTCCTGTTGCAGTGGCTCAGACCTGTCCATCAGGACTTAGTAGGACAGGGGACGTGCTCACACCCACCCTGGACCAAGGCAGCCCTTGGCACAGCTCTGCCCTCCACCTTCCCGAGGGGTCCTGGGCTCCACCATTCCCGCTCAACGTCCCTCCCCAGAGGCCCTGGGCGGCTGCCTGTCCCCTGTGTGGTGCCTGCTCTCAGGCATCCTGGTGGGACACGGGACATGCACACGCCCAGCCTCCAGCCTGCTGCTCGGAGGCCACCTTCCTTTCACCTTAGATCACTTTAGACTCACCCCAAAGCAGAAAGAGACAGACGCTCCCGTGTGCCCTGCATCCCCATGTCCACGTGTCCACGTGTCCCCTGCTGGCCATTCCCTCCTCTCTCAGGGCCATTCACTCCGAGCCAGCGGGGTGGGGGTGACCTCTTCTCAAGCCGGGACGTGCTCTTGCCGAGCCCCGGTGTGGTCCCCAGGCAGGCCCCTGGGCCAGGCCCCCCACCTCCTGCCGCAGCCCTTCCTCTGGCCCCTGTGCTGCTGCCCGGGGCCTGGAGCTCACCCCCCTTCTGGCAACAGGTCCGGGACAAGAAGCTCGTCAACGACCTGAACGGGGCCGTGGAGGACGCCAAGACGGCCCGGCTCTTCAACATCGCCAGCTCGGCCCTGGCCGCCTCGGGCCTCGTCCTGGTCTTCATCTTCCTGCGGTACCCGCTCACCGACTACTGAGGCCCGCCTCGAGGGGCAGTGGGCTCCTGCGTGGCCCGAGGCGGTGTGCCAGCATCACGTGTCAGAAGCCAGTGCCTGAAGGAGCCAGCTCCGTCCCGGCCGCCCGGCCGCCTAGGCCTCCACCCCGCCTGTTTCTGGGGCCGGGCTTCCTCCCTTGCCACCGCCCCGGCTTCCAGCAGCTGCCCTCTCTGCCGTCTTCCCTACCCAGGCTTCTGGGGCCCCTCAGACCCAACACCCAGCAAGAAGGGCTTTTGTGGGAGCTCCCAGGATGGGGGCTGCCAGTATCTGGGACTCACTCCCCCCCACCCTCCTCCTCCAAGTGTGGCCCTGCTCAGAGCTCTTGTATCCGTGAACTTTCAATAAAACACCTGCCCAGCTCCAGCCTGGCCTCTGTCCGTGCCCTATGTAGGGCGGGGGACACGGGAGGCGCCCGGAGCCACCTCAGGCACTGCCTGGTGGCCCAGCCCGGGCCACAGCATCGCTGACTTTCAGGTTTGCTCTGGAACACTGTTCTGCAGGGGTGCAAGGCAGGACCAGGGCTTTGATGGAGGGCACCCTAAATCCGAGTTCCCAGAGGTCAGGCAGCCAATGTGGGGGTACGGGAACCCCCAGGCTGGCTGAAAGAGAGCAAGGAAACCCCAAATCCATCCAGGAGGAAGCACCCATCTGTGACAGAGCCCTGCTGACCCCTGTGCATCCCAAGGTGCTGGGGCCAGGCTGGCTCCTACACCTCACCTGTAACCTCCTTATTCATAAAATTAGGTCAAGATCAGTGCCAGCCGGCAGCAGCGTGCTGGTCCAGGAGGCAGAGAAGCCCCGCCGCGGGCTCTGTCCCCTGCAGGTGGAGGAGAGTGGGCCAGGGAGTGACAGGAGGGGCCGTGCAGAGGAACTCGGTGTAGTGCTCATGTGTGAGGTCTGGCTGGCCGGGGGGGTGAGGAAGACCCGGCAGCTTGGCACAGGTGGGAAGGCCCCGGGGTCCCACAGGAAGGCCAGCAGAGGGCAGGGCAGGGAGAACACACACTTCCTTTGCGTCAAACATCATGGTGTCTGTGCTCTCTGCAGCACCCAGACCAGCCCGAGGGACCAGGGTGGACGGAGGCTGCGGGGAAGCTGAGGCTGGGCTGGGGCTAGCGGACAGCGGGAGAGGAGGGCTGGCGTCTGCTCGGGGCAGGAGGGACTGGACAGCCAGCAGGTAGACAGAGAAGAAGTGGACCTTGAGTGCAGAGAGCAGGCGGGTGGAGAGTGTGGGGTGTCAGCCAGCCCCTGGGCAGTGGGACATGACATCTGGGCCAACCGCTTGAGGACAGGAGGGGGCGGAGGGGTTGAGGGTCAGGGCTGCAGTGGATTCTGGACTCTGGCAGCTGGGAGGACAGGAGCGTCGGGGGGACATGGGGTGCCCCTCTCGGGCGGGAGCAGCAGTCTTGGTGTGTTAAACAGGCCCAGCCTGGGATCGGGCTTCCCAGTGAACCCGTCAGGCACTGGCCCTTGGACACTGGCCCCGTGGACACTGGGCCTGGGGCTTGCCAGGGAAGCTCTTGGGCTTGGTGTCAAAGCCCGTGGCCAAGAGCAGGTTCGCCCTCAGGACGCAGCGGTGGGAAGCACTGTGGGTGAGCACCTGACCAGAATCCCACGCAGCAGAGGCACAGGTGGACATGGTCAGCCCCAGCCGGAGGTGGAAGGGCTGCTGTGAGGAGGACGGGAGATGGGACCTCTGAGCCAGAGGGCCGGGAGGTGGAGGCGGACACAGTGGGGACGGTGGGACCCTGGTGTGCTGGGGCCTCGGGGACATCTGGGGGCACGAGCAGGGGTGTGGCAGGGCGGGCTGGGGGGCAGGGTCCTGGGTGGCCAGGTTCACTGGCTGAGGCGGTGTCCAGATGGCTTCCTTGTTACATGTGGGAGGGGACAGAGCAGGGGAAGGGTTTCCTTTAGCCTGGGCCAGTGCCATGGCTGCCTGGCGGGTCCTGGCAGGATGCAGCTACGTTGAGGACGCCCTGGGCGGCCCTTCCCTGGGACCCGCGTGCCCAGCTGAGGCTCTCTGGGCTCATGTTGGAGGTGGGACAGTCACCTTCCAGCCAACAAGGCCTGCACACAGCAGGGACAGACCTCCACGCTGCAGAGGCCCCACTCTCGGGACCGGGAGGGGCTGGTGCCCCCACAGCGGGTCAGACCTGTCCCTCAGCAGTCGGGGCAGCAGGTCCCAGCTCCTGCCGCGGCCCTGGCTCCCAGGTCCATCCCTGGCTCTCTGGCTCCCAGGACGTCCCCACACCCCACCCCCGTCCCCGCAGGGCCCCACCCCATTTTTCCTTGATTGTGCCTAGGGCCTGGCTCACCTTCAACGGTCAGTAAACTCTCGGGAGTCAGAGAACAAATCTCCCTCCTGGGTCCCCTCCTGTCCCCCCTCCTGCCTCTATTTTTCTGCATATTTGAGGCTCAGGCAACTTTCCCTGCCCTCCCTTCTGCCCTGTGCAGCCCTGGCCACTGCCCAGTGACCCCCCAGCCCACAGCCCAGGTCTAAAGGATCTCAGACCAACAGCTGAGTGGGGAGAACATGGCTGTCCACCTGTGTGCATACGTGTGTGCAACTGCATGCAGGCAGGAGCGCGTGTGCACACGTGTGAGCTGGCGTGTGCACATGTGTGAGCTGGCGTGTGCACACGTGTGTATTGGGAAGAGGCACCGAGGCAGCCCCTCTTGCCTTGACCACGCTGGAGCGCTCGGTTCCCATGCACTGGCCCATCCCATGCCCACGCCACGGGTGGGACCCGTCACTCTTTCCAGACTCTGGAGCCCACAGGAACTTCCCGATCACGTGTTCTCGGTCACCCCACATGGCCTCAGCCAGCAGGTCCATACTCTCCTGTGTCCTCCTGAACCTGCTCCCCCAGAACAGGGACTCTGGTTCAGGTGGGGGGGCCCGAGGGGTCGGGAGGTCTCTGTGACATGCCACTGGGCCCCCTGAGCGGCTCAGTCCCACTTGAGCTCAGAATGAAACTATTCTGTGACAGGAAAGTGGCAGGAGCCAGCCACCAAGTCCACACCCACCTGCTGAACTGGAGGCTCCGGGCGGCCGAGTGGCTTGCAGCCGGGCCGACCACCCTGGGAGCGCGGGAGGCTCAGCCATCAGCAGAGTCTGGAATTCCCCACCTGGTGAGACCCAGCAGCTGAAGTCCCGAGGCCCCAGCCGCGTGTTGGCACCAGAGACACCAAGGAAGAGCCTCTGGGGGCCAGAGGAAAACAGGCTCTGTTCAAAGCTGCAGAGGCCAGAGGACTCCTCACCAGACTGACGGAACGCTGGTGACCGCGGGAGAGGAAATGCCCCTTCACCCAGCACTGACGCGCAAGGGGTCACCCGTGGGAAAGCACACGGGGGGCAGCTCAGCACCGACCCTGGGGCTGTGTGTGGCTGGTGTCCCTTCTCACTGGAGCTGTTAAACAGGCAGAACTGAGTGGCCCCCGCCCCGTGCCAGCGTCTCCAGGCAGCTGCTGGCTCACTGGGCCCCACGGGCTCATCCGTCCTGCGGTGGTCCTTCATGTGGACAGACCACGCTTGCTCAGACGTTTGGTGGCCCCAACGTCCACTTTCCCAGGCACCGCCACAGGTGTGGGGTGGACCGCCCAGCAGGGGATGCCCACGCACTCCAAGGCCTGGGTGCACTCCGTCAGTGAGGCCCTGTCCCCGAGGCTCCTGGCCCTCCCCATCCAGCCCACACATGTCCCGGTGGATGGCCCCGTGTGTCCGTGTGACTCCGTGCCCAGGCTCTGTCTCCAGGCTCTCAGCGGCATCGTCCTAGAAACGGAGGCTTTCAACTGTGACACAGTCGCATTTGGTGACTGCTTTTCTGCAAGACGTGGAGGAGCCACGGCTCCGGTCACTCCTGGGCTTCCGGGGCCTGATTCCTCCCTTCCCGTCCCCTCCCGTCCCCCTCCTCTGTGGTGCTGGGGTGGGGCTCCGTGCCTGAGGCATGCTGCGTAACGGTGCTGCTGAGCATCCACCCACTTCTAGGTCCGGTTTCTTGAGGCTGTGGGGGTCACTTGAGCGTTTATTTCACAAAAGTCGAAACTGCACTCTGTGAGACGCGGCTGTCCTGTGACACGCACCTACGGACACACAGTGTTTACCAACAGGGTCGTTGGGAGACAAAGTGCCCGGTGAGACGTCTCACGCCCGGCGGAGACGGGCCAACAGCTGCACTCGTCTCTCTGGTCGAGGTGATCTCCCTGAAGGAGGTCATCCTTCTATTCATTCACAGTTACTCCTGAGCGTCAAGCAGCACGGCTCTGGGAAGGGAAGCCCGTGGCAGCAGCTGATTAATTTTACAGTGAACCAAAGACTCGTAGAGAAGAGTAGGGGCATGGGGAGGGGGCCATGAAGGGACAGGAGGTGGCCCTTGTGGGACGCGGAGGGCATTTGCCGGAGGCTGGCTACGCCCAGGGAGACGGTCCCATAAGCAAACCTGTCAGAGCTACAGGATGAGGTTTCTCCCAGTTGGTGAGGACAGCCTCCTGCTCTCTGCACCAAGAGGGTCTAGAAGCTGCAGCGTCCCCCAAGCAGCAAGCTCACCTGGATCTCATTGTCTGCATTGCTGTAACTGAATACCCAGGACAGGGTAAGTTATAAAGAAATGAAGTTCACGTCTCCCATTCTGGAGGACAGAGCCGGAGGCCCAGGGACTGGGTCTGCTGAGCCCCTCTGGCCTTCCTCAGGCAGCTGGTGCCAGGACTGTGTCCCGCCTTGGACCCTAGTCCTCCCCAGAGTTGCTCTAGCGCGCACCCAGGCAAGGCTGCCCTCCCGGGTCTCCAGTGCTTGTGGACTCCGCCTCGTCTGTCAGGGGGCGGGCATCTCAGAGGAGCAGGTGTCTGCACGGCGCCTTCCTTTAGCAACAGCCCTTAGTTTTCCTGCACTTTGCAGACGTCCCTCCTCTGCCCTGCGGGTCCTCACCGCTGGTCTTCCGTGGTAGGTTAGGAAGCCTCAGCGTGAAGAGAGGTCAGTTTCCTGCCCTCCGGCCCTGAAAGGCTCTCCTGTCCCCTCTGCTGCGGTGGCTGTCCCTGTCCTGAACCAGACACTCTGGCCGTACCTCTCTTCCTAGGCTCCTCGTCTGGCCTCCGCCTGTCCTGGCACCAAGCTGCAGGGCCGCAAGCACCACGGCTCCGCTCCGCGCAGGCCAGAGTCCCCGCCAGTCCCGCGGCCCCCCAGGAACCTCCTGCCGACCCTCCCTCTGATCTCCAACTTAATTTCGGAATTTAAAAAAGCCGATTGAGATCTTGACTGAATCTCTGCATCCTCGTGGGGAGAACTGACATTTCTGTACGTTGCTTTCCAATCTCGAAGGGTGCGGAAGTCCTTATTTCTTAAAGTCGCTTTAATCTCCCCCCCAAAAGCA